TCATCTACTCCAACCCCCCGCTAAAGCAGGTTCACCTAGAGCATGTTACACAGGACATCGTCCAGGCGGGCTTTCAATATCTCCAGAGAAGGAGACTCCACAGCCCCCCTGGGCAGCCTGTTCCAGTGCTCTGTCACCCTCAAAGTAAAGAAATTCTTCCTCATATTCAACTGAAACCTCTTATGCTTCAGTTTGTGCCCATTGCCCCTTGTCCTGTAGCTGGGCACCACTGCAAAAAGTCTGGCTTGTGTCTGGGTCTCTTTAGGGTCAGCGGGGCTATTCTGTCTTCTTCTCTAGCAAACCTTATCTGCTAAATTAAGGACTGTGCATTGCAACCACTAAATCTAAGAATTGCTACTCAGGGGCCAAACTACCGGCAAGCTCAACAGCCTTCCTCTGGCCCTCGCTCGCATGATAAAGGTCATGATAAAATGGGCCACTTTGGGAGGAGCAAAAAAAAAAATTGCATAAACTTCTGCAGCAGTGGTTTTGTATTATTAGCCAGAGTATCCAAGTTACCCAGGAAACCACGCGCCCTCTTTCCAGCATCCAACAGTAACCCCGGGGAGACCCCAGCTTCTGTGCTCGCATGACACCGTGGAGAGAAGGCGGCTGCATCCTTCCCCGTCCTTTGTCAACTTGCTTCAGAGGAGAATGGCTTAGGGCATCATTTCATATTCACCCCTGTCTTACAGAATCTGCTGGTATTTATTACAATGGTGTAAAAAAAAAAAATAAAAATAAGTTTTTCATCTTTCTATAACCAGTCAGTATAATACCATCAGAAGTCAAGGCTTGACAGCAGACATTACAGTCAACACTTTGAAACAAGAACAAAATTCCAAGGCATTGTGAAGCTGCTCAGAATTCCAAAGGTAAATGTATATACTGCTGGTGTGTGATAACCTACTGGACAGTTCAGCATTACTCTACATTGCTTTATGTTTGTGTATTCTATATAGGCAATTTAATTCATAATGAGATGAATCTAATCTAATGACTGTTAAAAAAATGTCTATCACGTTTGTTACCTAAGCAATCTGGAAGCATACAGGAACTGAAGTATGCTAGTCTGGGTCACAGCAAAAATTGGAAAATTTGGGAAACTAGGTCCTAGAAACAGGTTACAGAGCTACTATTTAGGGGGGGAAAAAGCCCCAAACCAAGAGTAATTTTACCTAACACTTCTCAAACATTGATTATAATCAGAATATATATTTCATACAGAGATATATACACACATAAAATACATATATACATTTTATATGCACCTATTTATATACACACATAAATTCTATTATATATAATAGAATATTCTGTATTTCACAGTTGGCAACCATGGGCTCAGTTTTGGATGGTATTGGGTTTGCGGGGCAAGGTTTTGGTAGCAGGGGGAGCTACAGGGGTGGCTTCTGTGAGAAGCTGCTGGAAGTTTACCCTGTGTCTGTTGCTGGCCAAGGCTGAGCCCATGAGCGACGGTGGCAGCGCCTCTGGGATAACGTGTTTAAGAAGGGGGAAAAACCTGCGGAACAGCACCCGGAGAGAGAAGAGAGAATCTGTTAGGGGAGCAGCCCTGCACCCCCCAGGCCGGT